TAGTTTGGTCTCACTGGACCCAAGCTAAATTAGACTACTTTGGAGATGCACCTAATTTATATCGGGTCAGCCATTTATAGACCAATCTAAGTATCCTGAACTTCTGTACAATTCACACATAAATCCACCTAACTAGTACAAGGTCCACACCTGGGTGACTAAGTTACATTGGGTGGCAATGTTTAACGCGATCTAACCTCCCCCTTATCTCCCTTCCATCAGAGCTTTTAACTTTGTCTGGGACCAGTAATCTTCCCTCTCAGTTGGCCCCATCTCCCTGAGCAATCAGGCAATTACTCATGAACCTCCTGCAGAGCTATGTACCCAGTTACACTAAGCAGAAGAAGCCTGTAATGTTAACGGATGTGGTCCCAAACCTACATTGTGCCCCACTCCCCAAACTCCAGTCATCACCAGACCCCTGCCCCATAGACACCTCACCACCTCCAGACTCACCAGTGCTGTCTTGGACCATGTACCTTGCCCCCTCCAGACCTCTCACTGCTCCTTACATCTCTGGACCTGCTGCTTCCATCACAACAGCCACAGTAGCTTTCTCCATGCCCCAGGGTGGATCTTACCAGCGAGGATTCCTGCAGTCCAGATCCAGCCTGGGGCCCCAGGTAAGTTGGAGACTCCTAACCTAAAGAATGGAACAAAATGAATGTAGCTAGTATACAAATACTCATTAACTTTGCCAGTTTCACTGATATTTGTTTTGAATTTTTGTTTTCATGGCATTGTTGTTCTGGTTTGATAAAAATTATTGTAGCCAAATTAAGAACCATGATTCACTGATTTAGTTTTGGAAGATAAATTCTGTATACATCTGTATTTCATTAAGTATCTCACATGCTCCACAAATGAAAGTTGGCCACTGGCCAAGAATGATGTTAGTGCCTTGCTACTGTGTGATAGAGTTCGTCTTTTAGATTCTAAATAAAACTAAACTGCTGACCACTTGTTCTTATTAAAGCTCTCACTACAGTTTGTGTTGTTCTTCTTCATTTTACATTAAGTGGTGAATTAAAGAAGACAGCAATTGTGTCAATATTATTTAGTAACTGCACAGCTATCCCAAGAGCTTCCAAGATGTCACATTGGGCAAGTTGTGATTGGGCAAAATGATTGGGTAAAATTATTCTATTTTGCTAAAGTATTCTTTAAATAAAACAGTGACCATTTGTTCAACTCTGTAAAGTGCTTTGTAATCCTTGAAAGAATTATTGGTTTGATCCTGAGAGGGTCTGCACATTTACTGTTTGTAATAGACCAAATTCTCTGCAGGCAAACAGAATTGTGTATAGAATTACACTAGAAGATAGGTTGGGCAAGATATTTTAATGAAAGTAACAAGCACGAGGTATTTCCTATGGTCATGCTCCACATAATTATTAACTAATGTAAAATATAATGTATTATAGAAGATATAGCAATAACTATAATTAAGCATTTTGTCATTTCCTGATAACACTATTTATGTTTCACTGGATAATTAAGAGTTAGAAAGGGATTTAATAAAATTGTCAACCTGATTCTTATCTAACTTTGTGTGCTTCTATATGAGAATAAGTTCATTAAATTTAACTAAGTTAACTCTTGATTCCCAGTGGCATAGGTGAGATCAATATTAGGCCCTTTTTTTCAATCTCATGGTAATTTTTGGTGAATCCCACAGATTATATGCAATTACAGTGAGCCTATTCTAAATTATTCTATATATATATAAAGGGCTTAGTTCATCTATGTGCCAGTCTGTCTGTCTGTAATGCTCTTAGGGGTGTGGCTCCTAGCAGGATGTGGCTCCACAGAGCAGGGGGGAGGAGTGGGGGTGGCATAGGGCCAGACATGGAGCAGAGGGGAGGGTTGGCGCGAGGCTGGACACTGAGCAGGGGGGTGCCATGGTGCTGGACATGAATTGGGGGAGGTTGGGGGGCTGGATGCAGAGAAGTGGGGGGGTGGCACAGGGCTGGATGCAGAGCAAGGGGAGTGGTGTGGGGCCAGATGTGGAGCAGGGGGGGGCATGGAGCCAGACAAGGAGTGTGGGGAGGTGGCACATGGCCAGATATGGAGCAGCAGCAGCGCAGGGCAGTGGGTGGCAGTGGTGGCCACTGCATGCTAGCTTCCCTCTCTCCGCTGCTCCTGGCAGGTGGTGGTGGTGCAGGGTGGTGGGTGTCAGTACTCTGTCCCCGCCCACCCCCCGTCCCGGTCATTCTTGACAGGCAATTCACTACTGGATAAAGAAAAGGTACAATTTAAGAGTTGACATAATTAAAGTGTGGTCTACAAAGGTGGCATTGTTCTAGTCTTAATTAGTAACTCTTCCATGTGAACCCACTCAGAAAGTTTAACATTTGAGATTTTGTTGAAGGTACATTGAAAAAAGAGCAAATGAAAGAAAGAAATCATGAGATGCTTCTCTCTGCTTTAATGCCATCTGGTAATCTGTACTTTCAGAGTTTGAAAAGATCCAAGGAAAGGGGAAGTGTTATATCATGCAGTTCAGATGTACTTGTTTACATCTCAACTCAGCAAGACAAAGCTTGACCTCAAATTGATTTTGTAACACACAAACTGAAAGGAATCATTGTGAAACAGAACACAGCCTAAACTGAAAAAGCTGAATAGAAAGAAGTGAGTGTTCAGCCAAAAAGACAAACATGAGTCTCAGCTAAATGAGTCAAAAATGTATCTATGACTTTGTTAGCAGTGGACTAATTTAATGTTAAAACACTAAAAAAGAAAGTCAGTCTGAGCAAGCTATTAAATGCATTAGAAATTGAAAGTCCATAGAGTTTTTCCAAGGCTAGCCAACTTTTGCAACTTTTAATGAAAGTCCAACACCAAAACACCAGATTACACTGGAAAGTTTATACAGATCTAGGTGTCTGGTGACCTGAGTCTTTAGTGAAAGTCTGAAACAGGAAGCCACTCTTGAAGCTTTAGTTTACTGAATGGTGAGTTTTGTGTATCTGTAGGGTTCTTGTCCTGGAGAGACGATGCAGAAAAGAACAATGGAATCATCTTTACTATGAACAACTAACTACTCTTAACACTAAAAAAGAAGAGCAAATAGTAACACAAGATGAAGCAGTTCAGGCATTGTCCTCTGTTGATGGCATATAGAACATACATATTGGGTGTGTCTACAAGTGCACTTTACTGTGCATTAGACTAATTTAATGCACAGTAAAGTGTCATTGTCTGTACTGCTGCTTGGCACTGCACAGCTGCCAGGGTAGTGCTGTCAAGGCCAGCAGGGTGCTGAAGGTGTTGCAGGCTGCTACAGCCCCTGGCCAGGCCTGTCAGTCCACCAGGTCCATCTGCAGGCAGTTTCTGGGCTGCAGGGCCAGCACCATCTGCCTGCAGCACACCCCAGCAGCCTGTCCTGTGCCTGCAGGTGCTGCGGGGCATTGCTTCTGCTGCACAGCTGCCAGACCTGTGCTGTGGCCCTGTGCTGGGCACTGCAGACAGCTGCCCAGGGCTGGCAACACCAGGACAGCCATGCAAGGGCTTCATCATGGTGTCATTCTCCCTGCCCAGGCCCATGACCACATATGTTCTCACACCTGTGCCCTCCACCCACACCCCAGTTGGAGTCAGGAGGAGACTGATGACCTCATGGCACCATGGGGTGAGGCAGAAGCACTGCACCAGCTTCAGCCTGATAGGTGCTCCAACCCTGACATTTATGAGACCATGTCAGGCCAGATGCAGGAGAATAGGTACGACTGGACATAGCACCAATGGTGCATAAAGGTCAAGGTCTTGTGGGCACAGTGGGTCACCGTGAGTGACCACAATCATCGGTCTGGACACACCTGCAAGACCATGCCCTTTATGCAGAGACTGAAGAACATGCTGGTGCCCGGGGACACAGGCTGCAGCTGCACAGTTTATATCAGCACGGGCAGCCTCCCAAGCCCCCACCCCAGTTTGGCACCTCTGGTGACACATCACTGGTTGAGAGACTCTTGGGTATGCAGCATCCTGTCTGGCCCAGCTCCCTGGCTGCAGTTTCCACCAGCAGCTCAGGGAGCCCTGGCCAGCTGTGCAGCCCTAGGGCCAGACATGAGGCATGGCTGGCCATGACACGCTAGCTGCCAGCAGTGCCAGCTCCTCCCTGCGGGGTGGGGCCTGAACAGGTGCTGAAGACACCAGGTGCAGCCACAAGCTTTCACCAACTGGAAAGACCATGCCAAGCTGCCAGCCGTGCCAGCCCCAGTCACATGGTTAGTCCTGCACTGGCAGAAGGCCCCTCCCTGCCCCAGCCCCCACTCTGGCCCCTGCCCTTGACCCTCACACCACCAGATCCACCTTCACTCCCCCTGGTTCCAGTTTCCCCCCTCTCCCTCCCCATAGCACACACAGAGAGGCAGGAGAAAGTGCAAAACATTACTGAGCAGCCTGTGCCCCTGCAGCTAGGCAGCCACAGGCCTCTAACACATCAAGGAATGTGTCAGTGCTGGTGGCGATGTCCTCTTCAGCAGCAGTGGGGGGAGTCTGCCACTGTCACTGCCACCGCAGGTGGTGCTCCCACAACCAGGTATCCTCTACACACACACTCCTCTGTCCAGGCCTCACAGAACAGCTCTCCTGGGCCTTGCAGATGTTATGCAGCACATAGGCCTGCAACAATGACCTGTAGGATGTTCTCCTCAGCAACCTTGAGGAGAGTGGTGAGGATGCACCAGCAGCCCTTGAAGCAGCTGAAGGTGCACTCCATCAGGGCATGGGTCTGGCCCAGGCACTGGTTAAAGTGGGCCTGGTTTGGGTCTAGGTGGCTGGTGTAAGACTGCATCAGGCAGGGCAGAAGCAGGTAGGCAGAGTCCCGAGTGAGCACGGGTAGGACCATAATGGCACCCAGCTGCAGCTCTGGCATCCCCAGCACAAAGTGCCAACTCTCCACTAGTCCCATCAGGCCAGAGCTGTGAAACATTCAGGAGTCATGTACACTTACCTATCGATCTGGTGCACACATGGGTGAATGTATCGTGGTGGTCCACTACAGCCTGCAGCCCCATGGAGTGAAGTTCCCTGTGGGTGTAATAGGGGCGATCTCCATGGGGTGAGCAAGTGACAGGGATGCAGGTCCTGTCCAGGGCCCTAATACACTGGGGTAAACCCAGTGCACAGAACCCCACCACCACCACCAGGAGGTCACGGGTGTACAACACAATGCACCCCAGCATGTTCTGGAAGGCCCCGCACACTTCCAAGACAGCTTCCCCAGCAGTGGCCTTGCCCACACCAAACAGGTGTCTGACATACTGAAGGCTGGTGGGCGTGGCCAGCTTGAGCACAGCGAGGGCCAGCCAGCTGTCTACGAGGACAGCTGTGTGCACGCCAGTGTTCTACTATTCCAGATGGGGCCAGAGCTGCTGGAACAGGTCCTGAAAGGTGGCCTGGGTCATACAGAAGCCATCCAGCTACTGCTTATTCTCCTAGGTGTACTGGACAATGTGCCATGACCAGTCCTGGATGACGCAACAGGCCCAGAAGTGGTGGGGCTGGAATTCCAGGAGAGTGACAGTGGCCCCTCAGGTGGTGGCATCATGGAGTCCCTCATCAGCATCCCTGGTGGTGGCAGCTGTGCAGTGGCGGCAGCCCTGGGACAGCACGCTGTGGTTAGACAGGTGGTCGTTGGTCATGGGGGAGCTGGGCAGGGCAAGATGGCAAATTTACTGGCTTAGGCAGATCAACAGGGAGATTATGACAGCCAGCAGGAGCCCAAGGCACTGGTTGTTGTTGCCAGGGTCAGGGGCTGGAGCAGCCATAGTGCAGGGTGGCCAAGGAGAAAGTTGTTGCATGCTGTCCCTGTATTTGGCATGCTGCTGTTGAACAAGCAGAAGCCTGGTCAGACAGCAGCAAGCAAGCTGGCTTTTAAAGAGGTCTGCCAGGTGCTGGCAGCTGCAGACAGAGCCTAGAGAGCCCCCAGTGGCTATAAAGGCCTATTGCAGGGCTGCATGGAACTGGGTGCAAATTTTCTCCCTAATCTCTGCATGTATAGCTGCCTGCTCAAAAACCTTTACTCTAGTTTATCTTACACCAGAGTAAATATAGGTCAGAGTGTACATGCACCCATAAAGTTTAAAATGCAGCACCTTGAACTTTCTAGTCAGTTCCATCAGCAGTGAAGAAGCTCATCATAGTTACACCATTTCTGGTTTATCTTGAAATGTTTATCCTGCTTCTGGTTTCTTTTAAATGAGTTCACTCCTTTCCTTCATTCAGTCAGGTTTGGCTCTTTTTAATGTATTTTGTTCAGAACTGTCCCCAAATCATCTACAGGACACTAATTTTTGCCTCTGAATACTTCAAAAAAACCTTTGTACCATTGTCCAGGATTCTTGCAGGTATCAAGGGCTTTGAGGTCTATGCCTAGAGATTTTCCATTTCAGCATTTTGGAAGCATTGTCCTGTACTTCAACTTTTGTCTGTGCTGACATCTCATCCACCTCTTAAGATGTATGGATTTTTATGAGCTTTATTTCATTCAGAAGACTTTGGATACTGTTGCTGAACGATGTTGTGCCAAAAGCAGTGGGAAAAAATGGCAACCAATCCCTGCTTCTTGGTGACCTTTCTTTCTCTAGGAACTGCAGAAGCATAGAAATACTTCATAAAACTTTATATGTATATCCCTTTTTCTAGTTAGTCATCCTACAGTTCATGTTCAATTATATGACCCACCTCATCAGTGTAGAAATACATATACACTATGTTTCTGTAAACAAAAGGTGAATTAAAGGTAATGTGTAAAAGAGTTAAATGAAAAACATATTTAGCTAGAAATGAGGTAAATCCCCTTAAAAAGATGCCTTAAATATTCCAGAAATTGGAGTCTGCCATTTGATATGGGATATTCCAAGGTTCAGTTAATGAAAGTTATTTTTTTCTTCCCACATGTACTTCCTCTATATTTGCCAGTAGCTTTTTTTTTAATTGAAACCTACATTATAACTTCTGTAGATGAAATTTTTACCTGAGATCTGTCCTTTCAGAATAAATATTGGGCCATGTAATCAACCAGCTATGCTGTGCTGAACAGACTTTGATCTTCCTTTTCACTGTTATTTGACTGGACAGTGGGTCAAGAACTTTCTGGTTTATCTCTCCAGGTCTCTGATTGTACCTTCTCTTTTTACACAGAAATAAAATGGTTTCTGGGTGTAAAAGGAACAAGAAGATACTGGTGCTAGTTTGATTAATCTTTTTCTGGAAATTCAATTGTGTTGTTTGAATTGTATCTGTCACTTCTTGGTCAGCAGGTACCGTTTTATTCCACTAAGAATAAAAATCATCAATGAACTAATTTCTCAAACAGTGAAGGCTTTCAGAGAGAAAAAAGGAGAGGCAACAAAAAAGCAGAAAAGTACTAAAGCCAAAAGAAGTTCTTTTTAAAATATACAAGAGGAAAAAGAAATACTGTAGGGAAATTAATAAATAAGGAAGAAAAAAATCAACAATGAATGTAAAATGGCTATATGATCTGCCCTACATTTTCACAGGAAGAATACAGGAAAACTGTTGTAAATAGGAAGTCTGACTGCTTCAATAAAGCTTTTGATTTTTAAAAAGTACATTGGCAAATGCAGTATACAAATCTGCAAACCTATGTGTCATGCTGGAAATTCCACAGGGTTAACAGAACTAACTGATGAATTTATTAAAAACTAGTAATTACATTTGAAAGGTCACCAGAAAGGAGGAAGGTGCTAAAAGACTCAGGAAAAAGAAATCTAATGATTCTTGAAGAACATATATAAGATCAAAACAGTCAATTATCTGTGAAGTTTAATTTAAAATCTTTCTAAAATAAGCCATCAATTATTGAAAAGACAATGAAATAAATGGCAATAAAGAGCATGAGTTTAAAGAGCAAATCTCACAATTCAACAATTTATTATATCAAATAAAGGAACTAGTGGATGAAAGATGTTTTACTAGTTTGGATAGGGAACCAGTCCTGTGGAGACTGTGTTCAGTTCATAACTCAGTCCTGTGCGACATTGAGCAAATTACTAATCTATTCATTTAATCTTCCTTTACCTTAGGGCATATTATTACCCGGCCACACATGAGTGTTGTTAAGGTAAAACCCATTAAGGCCCTTATAATGCTCAGATACAATAGTGATGAGACCCATAAAAGTATGCAGACAGACAGAGAGGAATATGTTACCTCGCATTAAAGTTGAACATGTTATCATAAAGATAAATTCATTATTATACACATAATGCCTAACAGTATTACCATGTTAAAAATTGTTTGAAATTAGTCTGAATATTCACTTGTTGACATAGACTGAAATTTGTTTGAAAGGTTGGAAACATGGGTAAACAAACATTTTGAATGTATAAGGTATATCAAAACCCTCCCCAAAGGCTTGGGAAAGTTATCATTCAGTTCAGTACAGATGAGTGCTAAACCACATCTTATTTAAGTTAGGCTTTAATTCCACAAGATTCTGAAGCAAGTGACTAATCCCACTAAATTTGATGGTAGAGGCTCACAACTTAATAAAAATCTAAGAATACGTTTCAATGTTACAGTGAATTAAATTTTTAAAATTTCTTTTCTGGAGTTTTTCTCTACAAAATTACTGAGCCATAAATTAATCAATGCGACAAAGGTGCAACGTGTACCTTTCTAAGCACAGCAACTGTGATCACAGATCACTCCATTACAATGCCCAGCAAGCTTAGTCTCAGCCCACAGATCTCTTTGTCCCATCATCTGAATATTACTCTCTTTTCATGGAAAATGAAATGCGATCTCAGCTAGTTTTACTTTTGGCCTCCAGAATAACTGATACCCACCCCATTCATTCAATAGCTAAGGATCTGGTTATTCAAACAATGATGATGGTTAGAGCTGAGTGAATACCCCAGAACTTTCTGAGAACGTTCACTTCAAGAGAAATATCAGTTTGCTTTTGTCATGCTTTTGTTGCTCTCCATGAATATTCTAGCAAGTGATCTTCCTGGAAGAAACAAAGGTAAAGGCAAACTTTTTTTAAAAGATACTGGAAGTTATTGGAAATTTATTTCTGAACTCCCCAAATCATAGAAAGTTTGGATTGGAAGGGACCTCATTTAGTGAAACCTCCCGCACAAAGCAGGACCAGCTATATCATCCCAACCAAGGCTTTATATAGCCAGGTCTTAAAAACCTCCAAGGATGGAGATTCCACCACCTCCCTGGCAACCTGTTCCAGTGCTTTACTAAAATGAGAATATTCACAACAGAAACTGACTTTAAAGTAACGTATATAATCAGGTACTGTATAAAACAATACCATGTGCCATATGTTTCTGATTAAAAATAACATATTCCAAATTCTAAATAATAAGGAAAGAAAAAATTCTAAATAACAAAAGAAAGATATGAGCCATTATTTGCATGTGGAAAGGGTTTTGTGGATGATTCTGAATATCGAATGTAGTTGAAGCAATCATGGTCATTCACTTCAGGGAGAGTAGACATCTGGGAAGGGATGGCATCCACCTCACAAGGAAAGGTAAGTCCCTGTTGACAGCCAGGATGGCCTGTCTTCTGGACAGGGCTTTAAACTAAGATTGCTGGGGGATGGGGATACACAAATTAAAATATATCCAGGGACCAACATACAAGTATGCCCCATAGATAGGGACACTGGGAGAGCCACTCTTGCAGGAGCTGAGGGAATAGTTCTCCACCAGCGGGACAGGAAGATGAGGGCCTCAGTAGGAGGCCTCAGGTGCTTATATACTAATGCTAGGTGCATGGGGAACAAGCAGGAGGAGCTAGCCCTCCTACTCTCCAGTGGGGATTATGATCTAGTAGGGATTACGGAGACCTGGTGGGACTTCTTACATGACTGGAGAGTAATTATAAAGGGCTACACCCTGCATAGAAGGGACCAGGTGGGGAAAAAGGGTAGTATCATTGCTATCAATGTGAAAGAGCAGTACACTCCCTTGGAGGCCAACATCGGGTCCAAAAATGATCAGCTTGAAACCCTCTGGGTTAAGTTGTGAGGGAGGGAGCAGGGGCAGGGGGGGCACTGCAAGAGTACCTAACTGTAGGTATATACTACAGACCACCAAACCACAGAGAGGAACTCAATCTGGAGTTCACCCAAGAATTGACTAAGACCACACGTGCATGTGACATGGTTGTCATGGGCAATTTTAATTATCCAGACATCTCCTGGGAGAAACACTCAGCCAAATTGTATTGGTCGCACTCCTTCCTGACCTGTGTCAAGGAGCTCTTCTCGACTCAGGAGGTGTATGAGCCAACCAGAGGTGACACTCTGCTAGACCTGGTCTTGGCCAAAGGAGATGACTCGGTGACTGACTTAAATATAGAGAGAAGTCTGGGCAACAGTGACCATGAAACCATCACATTCATTGTCCATCTCAAAACAGACATATTAGATAGCAGGATTGAAGTTTTGGACTTTAAAAATGTTAACTTCAACAAGCTCAGGACAATAGTATGGGAAGTGCTGTGGGACTAGGGGCTGAAGGCAAAAGGAGTGCATGAAGAGTGGTCATTTCTTAAGGACACGATCCTTGAAACAAAGAAAATCCATTCCCATGCACAGAAAAGGTAACAGAAGGGCTGGGAAGCCCTCTTGGCTAAACACAGAAATCACTAAAGAAAGAAGAAAGAGGCTTATAAATAATGTAAGCTCAGGGTGGGCCCCAAAGAGGACTATTTCACGATGGCACGCATTTGCAGGGAACAGATAAGAAAGACTAAAATTGCAACTGAACATAGATTAGCAACAGGAATCAAGGACAACAAGAGGCCCTTCTTTAGGTATGTAGGGAACAGGTGGAAAACAAATGGAGTGTGGGGCCACTGCTCAACAAGTCAGGAGAGCTGGTTACTGGCACCCAGGAGAAAGTTGAACTCCTGAATGACTACTTTGCCTCACCCTTTCACTGGACCAAGGGGAAAACAATGCCAGATAGAGTACAGGATGAGCACAGTAGGAATAATCACCTTCCAACTATTGCCATAGAATTGGTGTATGACCAATTAAAAAAATAGACATATACAAGTCAGGTCGCCAATCAACCTAACTTCCATCCTAGGTAAAATCCTAGACAAGCTCATCAAGGAGTCTATCTGTGATAAGCTTGCAGAAGGTAAGATTCTGAATGACAGCTAGCATGGCTTCATCACAGGCAGGTCTTGCCTTACTAACCTCATCTCCTTCTATTACCAAGTAACTCACCATCTGGACATGAAAGAGCAGGTTGACATTGTATACTTTGACTTCCAAAAGGCCTTTGATCTAGTATCCCATGATGTCCTCACAAGAAAATTGGAGGATTGTGGGCTTAACTCTGAGATAGTCAGGAGGGTGAGAAACTGGCTGCAGGATAGGACCCAGACAGTCGTAGTGAATGGATCTGTACCATCCTGGCAAGAAGTGGGCAACAGTGTCCTGCAGGAGTCAGTGCTTGGTCCAGTACTTTTCAACATCTTTATTAATGATTTGGATAGGGGGATGAAGAGCTCACTGGCCAAATTCTCAGAAGACACCAAGTTATGGGGAAGCATGGTCATGCTTGAAGATAGGCTACAGATACTGGTGGACCTAGACAGGCTAGCAAGTTGTGTGGATTGGAATCTGATGAAGTTCAATGTTGAGAAATGTAAAGTGCTCCACCTACGATGAGCAACCCCCAACACACCTACGGGTTTGGCAGTGCCAAACTGACTAACACCACAAATGGACAGGACCTACAGGTAATAATAGACTACAGTATGAATATGAGCCGGCAGTGTGATGCTGTAGCCAGTAGGGCAAATAATACTATGGCATCCATCAATCAATGTACCTCCAGCCAAAACAAGGAGGTGATTCTTCCTCTCTACTCAGCACTGGTGAGACTGGTTGGACTACTGCATCCAGTTCTGAGCACCACACTTTAGCAAGGACATGGACAAGCTTGAAAGTGTCCAAAGAAGAGTCACCCGTATGATCAGAGTCTTACACAGCAAACCTTACAAGGAAAGGCTGAGGGATCTGGGAAAAGAAAAGGAACGAACACTGAGAGGGGACCTGGTAGCACCTTACCACTACACTAGGGTAAGATGCTACCATTTACCAGGACACCTGAGGGGAAAACTAGGAGTAATGGCCACAAACTCCTGGATGACTGATTTAGACCCAACATTAGGAAAAATGTATTCACTGTCAGGGTGTCCAAACTGTGGAATAATCTCCCTCTGGAGGTAGTGCAATCACCTACCCTGGAAATCTTCGAGAGGAGACTAGACAGTCACCTTGCTGGAGTCACCTGACCCCCACTTATCTTTTCTGCTTGGTGCAGGGAACTGGATCCAATGATCTTCCAAGGTCTCTTCCAGCCTTACACCTATGAATCTGTGAATGATGCTGTGGGGAAAGAAAAATCAGCAAATGGATGTACCCAAATCTCTCTCTGTCTCTCCCCCCTGCCCCCTTCCACCTCCACCAGGTGTGTGCAAACATTCAAATGAAACATGCTGATTTGCATGGTTTAGTCTGAGCAGCCTAAACCCTTATTGATAAAGCACTGCCTAGCAGGCCACCACAAGGGACCGGACCATGACTCCCCCTGACCCTGAGGAACTCTCATTGCAGGGATGTCTCCCTCCCACCCTACCCAGGGGCTTCTAGAAGAGACCTAGACTGAGTCCCCTCTCTTGTTACTTGCACATCAGTTTCTCTCCCTGGACCCTGACATGGATCCCTACCTCCCACACACAAGCCCACTGACCCAGGACCTGCAGTACATGCTTGAGGACCAGTACAACTCTTGCCAGAAGCTGTGGGAAATTACACATCCCCATCTGCAAAATGATCCCATAGATGTTCATGCTTCCACATGCCTTCCTGCTTACCCCCCAGTGCCCAAAGTCATCTCAGTGTAGGTGGAGGGCAAGTGGGTGATCCCCAACCTACTCTTTCTCAGACAGGGCTGCAGGCATGGGTAGTGCAGGAGACAGCCCCACCACTGGGGCTATTGCTCCTCATAGGCCTCTGAAGGACCATGCTCACAGGTCCTAGAAACCCCTCTCCTTCTGCAGGGACACCAACCACATGACACTTGTTCATGCTCAGGGGGTGCCTTGTGTCCTGTAACAGAACCAGCTCAGAGAGCAGGCACAGCAGTCCCTAGCCTCTAAACCAATCCTGCCCCCACTCCAGCTCCTCACAGTCCCACCTGCCATGCTTTGATGGAACTGTATTTTATATTGAAGCTGTTCCCCAGAGTCGTTGAGTGCCTAAGGGGTCTGCACTTGGTCTAGTCTCTTCTTTGCCAGCCCTTTCTGGCTCATGGGAATGGATCCCCAAAATCCACTACTACACGCTATGCGCCACTGGCACCTG